TACAATATCATTATACTTCAGACGTAACGTTAGCCGTCAGTATCAATTTGTTATAATGTTAGTATTTGCATCTTGAATTAGTTTTTAGCTATATGATTGAAAAAATTCGTGTTATTAGAATACTGTATATTATACATTTTAAATTGTAACTGTTCAATAAACTTACTTAATTAATTAGTATATATTGTATTTATATGATAAAAAAAAATCGAATAATATCTAAAATTCATCATTCATATTTCTACATAGGTATAAATTTAGATCGATTCAAAATCGATATTTACTTCTGTATAATTTTAGGGTTTATTACTGCAACCAAAACTAATACAGAACAGGTGCTGTTGATTTTAGGTAGTATTATACGGATTTTTCTCGTACCTACATCGAAACTGCAGTGATTAATGATCAATGCGAAACGAATAAAGAAAAATGTTTTCTATTATATTTTAAAATCTTGTTTTTTATCAGGACACTGCAGATCTCTAACAATATAGGTTGTAAGCCAGTTCGAATCATCCTTTTAAAAACGCCATAAATAATAAATGATCACAGAAATCCTCATATTATCCGGATGATGAAAGCGGCAATAATATCATTGACGTCTCGAATACACTCGCAAGTGATATAAAAACATAAAAGCCAGTCAATAAATGCGGATTTTGTCGGGCTAATTTGTAAGATAGGGATACGTAATATGTAATCTGCAGATTGCAGAACATTATATTTTATAAATGTTTGTATATTTATATTTTACATAGGTRCCTACCAATATAAGTGTTGTTAGCGATTGTTATAGAACTTATATTTCGAATATATTATTATATTTTTGTTGCGTACTAATAAGTATAGTATAGAACGTGGATGACTTTACTAATATTATAATGTAATAAAATCCGATCATAATGTCTTCTATGGAACCGGCCTCCACTTGTGACTTTCAGGCGAAACGACTTCCTGAACGTGTGTACCGTAAGAGGATCGTTATATTGTTATTATTATACTGCGCATATTTAACATTGAAACACGCGACTTGCTGCAGCATATGACGACGAAGGCCRAGATTTATAGCGAAAATACTATACATATTATTTCTACCGACAACGGTCTTACAACATTTCACYATCATTACAAAAATGCTAACCCCAAGTGGGCAAGTAGAGATTTTAACGCCCCACAGGCATCGTGATTTGTAGGTTCAGACATATCAATACATCACCAGGGTAGTGGGTAGCACAACGGCAGCGCTCGTTTGTAAAATCTAATACTAATTTTTATGAGAATTTATAAAAAGCCCATTACTTCCAACAAATATTACCTATCAATAGAATCAACAATTGAACGTTAACGCACGTAGACGCAGGTACGATCTATACACATAAAGACAACGATGGTGATCGTATATTATTATATCAATATCCGCAGTAAATCGTTTATTAAAACGGAAGGTTATCAAAGTAATATTTTCGATTAGAAGGGATCTTCATTATTATTATCCATACTGAAGGAACGACAATTTCCGGGAAAAAATAGATTATAATATACCAAAAGTCGGCGATCCGTATACTTATTTATAAATGCACATTATGTACCTATAGCTATAGTATACTAAAAATTACACTTGCACCGTGTGAACCAAAAAAAAAACAAATAATATTAGATTTTAAAAAGAGGTAGGTACTCACCACAATTTAAGCAGTCATCCGAGTCGCACATGTCCATGGGGTTCGGAAGTGTATAATATAAACAGAACTCACTGAACGCGCACAACAGACAACGCTCGTTACACGACCGCACAACGGAATGAACGGCCGCCACCGGACACACTTTACCTGCGTTGTTATCCTCCCCCCCACTACTACTGGTAGTCGACCAATGTTTTAATTTTTTTTTTATTATTATCATTATTCACTTCACCACAAACACTCTGTATGTTTACCACCTCTCCACCCCCGTCATCACAACTACCACTACTTTCTCCTACCCATGTTATATGTACGTTCAAGCCACCGTGCCGTTGAATGGAAGCGGTTGGGGTCCCGTCGAATAACAGAATCACCTGCTCTTTTTTTCGTTACTATTTGTCTTTGTATAGGAATATACCTATGCTTATTGACTTTTGACCTGTTGCTGCAGTGTTCGACTCGATGATTATACAACGGAGACGAACACGACTCCGTCGCCGCCACTCGTGTTTCGTCGTTTAATCTGTGCTCGGTAGCCACTAAACATATAATATAAAGGTATTTTAATATTACTGTCGAACATTATGGGTAAATAATACTGACGGCCACTGTGTGGCATGTATTTGAGTAGGCATTATTATTGATATTGCAACGATAAAGTGTGTTATTATCGTACATATAAGTTATACGCATCTGGTGTTTTATTTATTTTTTAAATATTAAAAACAGATTTTGCTCACGCCGAAGACTTCCGGACGTTTTTTTTTTTTACATAAAGTAGGTAAACGGATGGTAAACCTATAATATCAGCTATAATATAAACCGACAGACGCCTACCTCACGTCTAATCACACGTCGCATCCGATTTACATACACGACTACACGAGTGTCGAGTATTGAATATATACATATATATATATAACATTTCTATACGTCACACCAAGTGTAATTATAATATGCGTATTTCACACAAAATACCCGTTTATAATTACACTATATTGTATTATCATATAATTTTTATATACGTTAAATAGAAATTATCCAATCATTTGGTATATATTATAATTATATGATACAAAATATATTAACTACCTACTCATGTTGCTGTCTGAGCTAAACTTTCATACAGTTTCGTAGCTCCAAAACGAGATTCGATCAATCTGTCTAACATCATCATGCAGTGGCTCAAAATCGGAAATAACAAAGGTATACACAGTTTTAGATAATATAAGCACATCGAACTAAATATATTACACACCATATGCAAGTGAGATGGAAATTTTATTAATGAATGGACATTAATTTTTGAGTCTTCAATAATGACCTAAATAGGTGCAATTAGATTTCTACTCAAAGTGAGCTATTTTAATGTTACACATTCATTACACGCACTTCAAACGAGAACGGGACTTGGCGGAAGTAAATTAAAACGGCATTTATCTTTTATATTTATCGTAAACATTGAAATCTTTATTTCAACTAGAGACCTTAATTTATAATGTTTACTGACATCATGCTATTTAAATGAATGAATAACGATCGGATATCAAGTAAAAATATACTCTTTAGGTGAATAACACTGAATATTAAAAACTAAATTATATTATCACGTCCACAATTAAAAGGAAACTGACCGTGTTCATATAATAACTCATTTAATTATAATGAGATACCACTATCACATATCAAAAATGATTAAAACCTGCAACTGTCGTATTAGCTCTCAGTCGCCGTCTGGACAGGTCGGTGAGACTGAGCCGTCTTYAAATTTATTGGAAAAATATTTTCAAGGCCCACCTCTTCATAATTGTATCTAAATAGAGAGGCCATTTTTTATTTAGCCGACCAAGTAATCTGTTCTCGGACTGCCACTGTTTGCTTTACATTAAAATATTGAATTAGATGAACTTATAACTACAACTATAGTAATGAGTTCGGGAACCGCTATAAAGAACATTATATATAGGTGCCTATACATATATAAATGTAATAACTAATAACCATCGAAAATGTTGTTTACAAAAAGAGAAAATTATAAATGTGACAAATGATTCCCCCGAAGGCACACCAAAATTGTCTAATTTAATAAGCTAGTCCTTAGATAAAACTTCCTGACATTTTGAAATCAAATCCGACAGATCAAACGCTATTAATTCGGGCATAGTGAAAGTGCAGTATGAGCGGTTTAACAAAATTGGACGTGCACAAATTTAAAATAATAATTACGAGAAACATCAATGCTGTGCTCAACATTATAACCTACGGAGAGTGTATAAGTGTATAACCTAACTTAATATTATACTTATTTTTTCTCATTAGTATCAAGTCTACAAGTATAGTTAACAGTGAAATGCGTGTAAGTAGTTTTTGATATTCAGTGATACTATATAAAATATAAGATATTATACTATAGAAACATAACATTACATTAAAACAATAATATGCTTCATCGAGTTGTATTATAATAATAATAGTTATTCAGTTGTAAGTTCCAAGAATCCTTGAAAACCAATTTATTGCTTGGTAAACTATAGCCGTAAAATCTCTTAATTAGTAATTATAAACACTTCTTAGTTTCGTGAATATTAGTCACATATTTAAAAAGTAAAAAAAAAATAAAAAACATTGACACTATTATATTAATCGCAGTTTGGGTAGTGATAATATTTTCCATTACATAATATACATAATAATCTGTTGTTTTGTTTTTCGTATCATAATGAAGATTTTCATAGATTAAACTCCCACGCATTCACAAAATTGTTATATTAAAAAAAAAAAAAAATACCTGGACAAACAGACGGAAATAACGGTTATTTGGAACTATTTTATATGTCCCACATAAGTTACAAAACGACGACAAAATTCAAAAGACATACAACTTTAATGTGTTGTATTATTAGACAAGATTAATATATTATTAATAGAGATTAACAACAGCAAGTTATTTTTAATTTTGTTCTTGTTTATCAGCCCATATTTATATATATATTATATACATTTAAATTATGTAGACAATTAATGCAAAAAATAATGTATGTAGATGAGCAAAAAATAATTTTTCATAAAATTATCATATATATATATATATATATATATAGGTTACCTACAACATAATACATAAAAATACTTCATGTCCAACATTCAATAATACCTATTTCATATTTGCTATTATACAATCACATAATATTTTTTTATAAATTAAATTATAGGCGTTTTAGTTTTTAGTAATTAGTATAGTATTACATACGTGTTGTACTTTTATTTCATAGGTATAGATATTTATATAAAAAATGTTGTTTTCATGAAGCATTATTTTTGTACCATGAACGGCATGAACACAAACTATATAATTTATAGGTACTAGTATAATATAACATTTTGTTTGAATTTTTTTTTTGGACAAATATTGCCGTGTTTTTTCGTTTACATATATTTTTATTAAATAGTAAACATTAATAATTTAATTCAAACAGAATTAAAGGACAACTCAAAGTGAGCATTGTGTGCTAAATAGTTATTATTTTAATGAGCATTGTTGTTACATTTATACATGTAAATATTTGTAAATTATACTATAATACGTATAACATACTTGCACATGTTTATGACCTGCCAATTGTTTTAAAATTATAACTGTATATAGATTCTTATGAAGGTCTTTTTTTTGTTATGAATTACAAAATTTGCATTATTTATAATCACCAACCTTAAAGTTAATTATTCTTAGCAAATGAGCTCAAACAATTTTGTAGCAAAACATTTTTATAATATATATATATTATTACAAATTAGTCTCAAACATATATTTACTGGTTCAATTTTAACACGTCTTACATTTTCTAATCATCAACAGTTTTGTAAAGCCGTTGAAAAAGTTAAAACGTATACTAGATTTTGAGCAGAGTGATGAATGTATTGATTTTACAACGGTTTGTGATTTTTGGTTCTGTCAAGAGACAATTTAAATAGTTCGATTTTCTTCAATAGCATATTTTTTATCAGGAAAATGAATTTAGTTTTTTTATTTGGTATTTATTGAAMAGTTCATAAGTAAATAATTCACAATGATTTTCATAAAATTTGGTTTTGTTTTTAATGTAACTTAAAAAAAAAAACCGAATATATATAAAAATTTTACTTAGTGTTTAGATAAGTTAATTCTGTGCACTACATAATTTTTGAAATATTTCGATTGTTTTTGAACTATTATTGTAGGTGTAAGAAAATGTTGTCTTATTAGTTTTTTTAAAATTCTGGAAAAAATTTAAAAATGGAATACGTTCCTATAAAATCGTTCCTCATAAGTTGTTAGTAGAAATTGAAAAAAAAGATGAGCGTAAATCCACAAAAAATTTTTATGAGCGTCTGAAATTTAAATTTTGATAAAATTCATCAAAATTATGATAATAAGTTCGAGATTGATAATTCATTATAATCTAAAAAATATACAAACACGGTTATTTTTGCMAACGTGGACAAATGTGGACAAAATTACGTAAATTATTAAAAACAAAAATAACGGGTTTAGTTATTTTGTTGTAATTTAAAAATATTATAAGTGAGTAATTAAGACTTTTTGAGTATATTTTATGGTTTACAGTATACACACAATGAAATTTTCAAATTGGYAAAATTAATTTTACCTACTGTTGTAAGCAGACTATTAGTAAAATAAATTACTTTAATCAGTTTAATCACAGCGATATTGTATATTAATAATAATTATGTACTTATGTATAATATATCTACAAGTTACAATCGAACATAAACGTTATAAATTTATTAAATTCAAAATAAATTAAATGCTTGTTTTTGAAAATATTTTGAATGGATGTATGCTGCTTTAATAGTATAATAGGGTACTCGAAAGTCGAAATATTATATAGATACCATGCCAGCTCATCCATATGTTGAAATTAATATGGAAGTCTTTATAGCTTAATTTTTTTTTATTCATTGTTTACCGATTTAAAATAAATACTTAAAATTCCTTTCGTGCATGCATRTATGAGATTCTCAAACAATATAATATATATTTCATCTCTACCGAACGAATCATGATCTTTTTTTTGTTCAACGAAACTATAACCACTTTTTTATGTTCTT